CCATTTTTTTTACTTTTTAAAAACTTTTTAACCATTTTTTTTACTTTTTAAAAACTTTTTAACCATTTTTTTTACTTTTTTACTTTTTAAAAACTTTTAAAGCATTGTTTTTACTTTTTAAAAACCTTTTAAGCATTTTTTTTACTTTTTTACTTTTAAAAAACTTTTAAAGCATTGTTTTTACTTTTTAAAAACATTTTAAGCATTTTTTTTACTTTTTTACTTTTAAAAAACTTTTAAAGCATTTTTTTTACTTTTTAAAAACCTTTAAAGCATTTTTTTTACTTCTTTACTTTTTAAAAACTTTTTAAGCATTTTTTTTACTACAGTTTCTCTGGAAACGCAGGGGTGGGATAGGATGGGGGTCCGTTTTTGCTCCCAAAACAGGAGGTGGGCAGTGCTGAGAAAGGAAGAAGGAAGGAAGGAAGGAAGGAAGGAAGGAAGGAAGGAAGGAAGGAAGGAAGGAAGGAAGGAAGGAAGGAGAGAGTGGGAGGGTGGGAGGGCAAAAGGAGAGGAAGGAATGAGTGTGAACCTGGCACTAGACGCAGCTTCAGAGGAGAATCCAGGGCTGGGATGTACCTGGAGGTCATCTAGTCCAACCCTGCTCCAGCAGGACATTGTTAAAAGTGAGTTTCTGTCTTTTGAGCCCCCGGTTACATGACTACAAAGCCACGCCCACCCAGCCACATTCTCCACCAAGCCACGCCCACAGAGCCGGTAGTAAAAAAAAAAATTAGATTTCCCCGCTGGGCTACGATGGTCTGTCCTACAAACGAGGGTTGGAAAACAGAGTTGAGCACCGTCTGGACAGACCCAGCAGCTTATTTCTTATTTCTTATTTTATTGTCACTTATAGGCCGCCCTTTTCCCTGAGGGGACAGCCGAGTTCCCTGTAACCAGCAGCCCCCCAAGGAAGCTAAGAATCTTTCCTGCAAGCTCAGGGCTTACCCTGCGCAGCTCGGGGGTCTCCTGGATTTAGGGAAGGGGCCTTCGGTGCACCAATTGCTGAGCTTGGGCTTGCCAGGGGGGGACACCTGTTGTATCCACGCACTATTTTGACCCCCCCCCCCTTTCTCTCCCCAGGAATTAACCCAAGAATGTGAAGAGAAGAAATCTCAGTACGACAGTTGCGCTGCTGGTTTGGAGAGCAAGCGTTCCTCCCTGGAGCAGGTAGGCGGAGCAGAGGAGAGGGGGAGAATATATATATATATATATATATATATATGTGTGTGTGTGTGTGTTTATGTTTATATTCATATTCATATTTATATTATTTTCTACTAAACTAGCTGATAACTTGCCATTGTCCGGGTATGCATTTGTGGGAGGAAAATATCCGGACCAAACATCATTTCTGATGTTGGATTTACCCCCTTACCAGAGGGAGCCCCCTTGTGGGGTGCTGTGAAGCCATTACCATGGGAACTCCACTGCGCTGTACAGTAGAAGCCATTTTACAGTGGTACAGTAGAAAATAATATAA